ACTGAACTTCTGCCCCTGCCTGTAAAGCATCATTTGCAATCAGTTTGCCGGCTGAACCGAATATGGGTGGTCTGAGTTCTACCCAATGCAGGGGGTGCCCCCTTTCCATTAAAATATCTTACAGCTTTGCCCAGATTTCTGTCTCCGCACCCCAACTTCTGGTCCCCAGTTGTCCTCTCTGTGGTCTCCCCAATGCAGGTCTTTTTCCAGAGCATGTCCCCTGCAAATTATCCTTTTAAAAAAGAGAGAGAGAGAGTGTGTAACAACATAAAATTCTCCGGGGACTTAATTAAGCAGCTCGATGACATTTATGAATGAAGGCTCTGCGGGAGGGAAGAGCAGCAGGCTAAAAGTCCCCAGGCAAAGCTGTGTTGAGCCCTGTTTGTTGTTGATTTAAGAGATGGTTGTGTTTGAATTTCTGCCTGGTGGGGTGCAGATTAATTGGGGCCCCCGGATAGTCTGTGTCAGACCCGACCTGCTTTGGCTAATCGGCAGTCTGAGAGGCTGGGTCTCCACAACGGTTTTACCTGGCCCTGAGGACAAGGCCCTCCTTGTGAGCGGACAAGACCCCGGGAGGCTAAAACCGTTGTAAATACAAGGAGTCCTCGACATACGACCGCAATTGAGCCCCAAATTTTTGTTGCTAAGTGAGTAATTTGTTATGTGAGTTTCCCCCTCCCCCCCCAATTTTATGACTTTTCTTGCCACATTTGTTCGGTGAATCCCCGCAGTTGTTAAGTTAGAAATATGGTCGTTAAACGAATCTGGTTCCCCCGTTGACTTTGCTTGTGAGAAGGTCACAAAATGGGATCGCGTGATACACACACACACACACGCACAGACACACCCCGGGATGCTGCAACCATCATAAATATGAAGCCAAGGGTTGCCAAGGGTCTGGATTTTGGTCAGGTGACCCTGGGGATGCTGCAACGGTCGTAAGTGCGAGGAATGGTCTCAAGTCACGTTTTTTCAGTGCCTTATTTCAAGTAGTCGCTCAAGGAACGGTCGCAAGTGTGAGGACTAGCTGTACTGCAGCTTTACCGAATCTGTAAAGTCACTCCTGGGGGAGGATGCGTAACCCCCCCCCCTTTCGGAGAAGAGTCGGGGTGGGATCTACGCTGCTCACCTTCATGGTCTCTGGGTGTTTCGTGTCTGCAAGGGAGCTGCAGCGCCTTTTGGTCTGGCGCACAGAGCCGCCATCGCAGCGTTTGTTTGCGGAATGCAGAATCCTTTCCCACTCTACACTGCTTCCTGCCTGCGATAGCCGTAAAAGTGTTTTGCTAGTAACTCCTATCAGTGTTTTCTTCCTGTTTTGTAGACGTTGCAAAACATTTCTGTCATTTGCAGAGAAGCCTGCGGTTCCCTGATTCCTCTCTCTCTCTCTCTTGTTTCCCCCCCCCCTCTCCATCTGGTCCAATCAGCGTTAATATTTGCCTGGCCCTTTTTGAACTTGGTTCAGAAAGTGTTTGCTTTTCCACATAAACGAAGAGTTACCTGGAAATGCTCGCCCTGCGGAGTCCATCCCGCCCCCACCACACACGCCCCTCCGTATGTTCGTTTCGGTTCAGGGCGAGCAAACATTTCTCACGCCAAGCAAATAAACGGATCCACGTGGGGGTGGGGGAATGAGAGGCTGCGATCCACCTCACAGGATATAAATAAATAAATAAATAAATAAATAGCGAAATGCCTGGAAAGATGGGGAAACGGGTTCCGGTCTGAATCGGTTCATGCTGGGTTCGCTCCTCTGGCTATAATTTGTGATTTGGTTTTGATCAAGGAGGATGTCTGTAGCTCAGGGTTGAAATGAGGGGTCCTTGGTGGTCTCTGAGCTTGCAGGTTTTCTTGTGGACATTTCATGACCCAACTAGGTAACATCATCAGTGCTTAGAAGGGAGGGGATTTTGTGGAGAAGAGGAGGAGGAGGAGTGCTGTGGGGTCTTTGATGCTCTCTGAGCTTGGTGGTTTTCTTGCCAAATTTTGGGTTGATTAGATCCTTTGCAACAAAACGCAACTTGGTGCTTTTTTTAAAAAACAAACAAACCTGATTTATTCAGTAAATTTATATGCTACCCATCTGACTGTTGAAGCCCCTCTTCAGAAAAGATAGCAAACCATTTGGCTTAACTCATTTGCTAAACAAAGTGCCATTTATTACAAAGCGTGACTTCCTTTTCTTAGGCTGGGAATCATTTGAAGGATCTACCGTTTGCATTTAAAGCCAAAATAAAAACCTTGCTTCTAAACAGAGTTTCGTTGGAGTTTATAAACCATCTTATGGGGGAGTCAAGCCTATCCACATTCCCAAGATCTCAACACTTGGTGCCATCTTTAATGCTTAGATTCCTGTATCGGTCATAATATGGTTTCTTTGGCCTTAGGATGGTCCTTTGTAAATATGGTGGGTGCCTTGGTACTGTGGGTGACCAGCAAATTGATTCCACCATAAACCATGGTGGTTTAAGCACGCCAAGGTTTGCCCTGAAGTGTGAAACAGGCTGGATATTTTCAGCCAAGTCACCATATGATTTTAGAAGACACTGCAAGGAACAATTCTCCAGGTAGGTTCACAAATCAGAATTTTCTCCTTTATGGACACAGAGTCCATAAAAAGAGACTTCATGTTGGAAGGGAAGGAGCTTGGGACAGAGAACGCAGAATAATAGGATTGGAGGGATCTTGGAGGTCTTCTCCTTGCTCAAGCAGGAGACCCAATATGATTCTGAACAAATGGTTGTCCAATCTCTTCTTGAAACCCTTCAGTGATGGATGGAGCAACCACGACTTCTTGTAGAGGAAGAAGCTTGATCTTCCTGGCTTGAACCTCTTGAGCGGTGTCCTGAAGAAGAAGGAGAAGAAGACCAAGCCAACGTTGAGGCCAGAACATCTGCTTCGGTGTTTTGGAGCGCAACAGCTGGGCTCCCTGTTCTCCGTGGCCTATATTTCACAGTAGTGTGTGCAGAGTTCAGACTGTCTCTGGTTACGGCTGACATTTGCCTCCTAATCCTGCCCTCTTTTAAAGCCAGCCCGAGGTGTTAGAATGGCACTCGCTTTCTGGGTACAGCCGCACAACATGCTAATGCTTCGGTCTCCACCACCAGAGGGAACAAAAACCAGCCCTGCTTTTCTCCCCCACCCCCCAGGATTTTGAAACACAGCGGGGTCCTGTTTCTAAACACCGTGTTCCGAAGAACCAGCGTCGCTGCCAGCTAACCAGGGGGTGATAATTTCAACCGAGGATCAGGCTGGAACATCGAGTGCGTCGCCTGTGTAACCAAGCAGAGAAGAGAAGGATGAACATGAGGGTGACATTGGGGGGGAGGCTATGAATACAGTCAAAATGGGGGTGAGGGAGTCATCCAGCCCCATGGCCAGTGGGACCCCAAGGAGCTTCCTCCTTTGCAGCCTGGAGGGCTTCATCACTACTGACCCCGCACACTACATCCCTTGTTCTCCTAACAAGCCAAACCTTGCTTGTCCTTCTTCCTATCGTCTGAAAAATCCATATTTTGTCCCTGCCCCCTTCCAAGTGGAGCTGATTTGGGGTCTTGAGGAAGCTTATTTCGCCCCTTAATTATTTGCAATGCGGTGAAATATTTCCCTTCATTCTTCTGGCTCAGAAATTCTGGGAGTTGAAGTCCACAGGTTGTAAAGGGGCCACAGTTGCCCACCCCTGTCTTAGCTGGGTCGTAATATGACTTGCGGGTTTCCACTTGCATATCTCACACACCCAGCCTTTGCGGTGTGTGTACCGATGATGCTCGATTTACAATCATTCATTTAGTGACCATTCAACCCTGAAAAAAAAAAGAGTTACAACCAACGCTTGCATTTACGACTGTCTCCATGGTCACGTGTTCAAAATTTGGGCCTTTGGCAACAGGCATACTTTTATGAGGGTTGCGGTGTCCCAGAGTCCTACGAGTGCCATTCGTGACCTTCCCAGCTGGCTCCTGCCAAGCTAAGCCGATGGGGGAAGCCCGATCTGCTTAACGACCGCATGCTTCACTTATCCGTCAGGAAAAAGGCTGCAGACTTGAGTGCGACTCACTTAATAACCACTTAGCAAGGGAAATTCTGGTCCCAATTACAGTCGCGAGTCAAGAACTACCAATAAATCGTGATTTACGACTTAGCGTGCTGAGTCCCCCAGGCAAAAGTAGCCAAAGCCTGACTGAGCGTGATGGGTGAACTTGGCCGAAATCTCATGACCCAGCTCGGCAGGACTTCTGCCTTGTTCAAAACATGCATTTTCAGAGCCGGGAGATTCTTGAGATAGCCGAGTCTGGTTGTTATTTTACTCCGTTCCTGTTCTGAGCGCTAACTTGGAAGCTGTGCGCCTTTTGCCTTATCTACAAACACCGTGTGCTTTTCAAGGTCTCCGTGTGGGAGTTTTCCCACTCGGAGATCAACAGCCAATGTTTATCAACACCGCCGGCTTTGGATTTTGACGCAGGCCTGCGATACCTTCGTCCTAGCAGCTGACATGGGGGGGAGGGGGATGTCCTGTTGGGATGTCCTGATCCGAGCAGGATGGTCCGAGCCCATGGGTGACACAGGATGACATGAGCTGCTGCCCTGAACATCAAAGCTCTTTGACACGATGGTTCCCACGTGTTGCCCTGACCAGGAAGCTCTCCCTGGCTTTTCCCCAAGGCCTTTAGCAGGTCAAAAGCAATGAGTCACCCCCACAAGCAGGGCACACCTGTGGGGAGAGAGACGGAGGGGGCGGTTCCTCCCCCCCCTTTGGCGAAGGAGGTGCCATCAATGACTCAGCAAGCCCTTTGCAAGAAAAGATAACTGGTTGCTTCTCGGAGGTCCACAAAAGTCACTTTTCTTTTAAAAAGCATGACATTAACAGCATAACAGAGTGGGGAGGGGCCTTAGAGGTCATCTAGTCCAACCCCTTGCTCAAGCAGGAGTCCCAATACCATTTCAGACAAAAGGCTGTCCGGTCTCTTCTTCAAAACCCCCAGTGATGGAAGAGGCACAACGTCTAGATAAAGGAGTGCACTTTAATGAATTTATTACGGGCATAGATGGGAGAAAAGGCTGCCTTTTCCTTGGCCATTTCTTTACAGGCTGTCTTCGTTTAGTGACTGCACCTGCGAGCGGCAATTCTGCCATCGACCAAAGCAGTCACTAAGTGAAACCACCTTACAATCTTCCTTCAGCTTTCCTTCGCTTTACAGACCTGCCGAGGTCGTAAGTGGCGAGAACTGGTCGCAACATTAACGGTCGCTAAATGAGGCCATTGCTAAACGAGGACTACCTGTTGGCAGCTGAGGAATTCTGGGAATTGAAGCCCACATATCTTCAAGGGGCCAAGATTGAGAGGCACCTGTGTCCTGGTTTGGCCTCCTTGATGCTTTAAGAGGATGTTGAACCATTTCCCCCATCTTCCTGTTCGGCAGGTGTTCACGAGGGGCCCTCATCCTGTTTACTTCTCTTGGGAAGGAAATGAAAAACTCAAGGCGATTGATTGCTGCCCACGTGACAGGCCCAAACTGCAGATCGAGCAGGTTAGAGGTGAGCTCAATGGCTTGGCTAATGAGAAAGGAATTGACATTAATTTCATAGGGCAGTTAAAATATAAAAAGAAAAGTCCAAGCTGCAGAGTTAAGCCCATTAAGTTTTTGTCTGCCTTATTTCTTCGCCTGTTTTCTTGGCCACATGCAAATGCCTACCTTTTCTGAGTGGCTCCCAAATTTATTTCCCCTCTTCTATTTGGTGGATATTGTCAAAAGGAAAAAAAAAGAAATTTGGTTGAAGAGAACGCTTGTGGCTAAACCCTAGGAAAAAGAGAGAAGAAACAATTATGGACTCTGCAACCTTTTAAAAATCTTTGTGTGCAGAACAGGGCAACTGCACAATAAATTTACCTACCACTAGCACAGTTCAGGCTGTACGAATCCTCCCTATCCAGAGGCAGTCTACCTCTGCATGCCAGTTCAGAGGAATGCCCCCCTCCAAATTAGACAATATAGAATTCTTTGGCGCAACACAGGGCCATTGCACAATAAATTTACCCATCCCGGTTACTGTTTGGACTGTATGAATCCTCCATATCCAGAGGCAATCTACCTCTGAATGCCAGTTCAGAGGAATGCAAAAATAAAAATAAAAAATAGAAAGTGCCCAGAATGGGTTGCCCATTCTATGAAATACGAATCCTGCCTCTTTTGCACGATCCTTGCTCAGAGCCCTCCGGTGGGTTAAAATGAATCTGGTTGTCTTTTCTATTATAGCAGGAGTCTGCAACCTTGGCAAATTCAAGACTTGTAGACTTCGACTCCCAGAATTCCCCAGCCAGCATAGCTGAAGCTGAAGTCCCTAAGTCTTAAAACTTGCCAAGGTTGGAGAGCCCTGCATTATAGTGCTTGTGTCAAAAGCCAAAGGGAAACTTCGAGGCAGCTGTGCCGTTGTTTTGATCCACTTTGCTGACTACCTCAAAGGAATATTTCAGAAGATGCTGTGAACTCCTCAGCTAATAGCAACTGGCACCTTGCAAATGTCAGCAGCATTCGACAAGGCTGCCTTTGTCTTTGTGCGACTTGTGAAGGAGAAATATTTACAAGTCATGTTTCCTCTCCATCCCCAGACCTCCTTGACTTCAGGCACAGGAGGTTGCAAAGGTGCTTCATCAAGGTTGGGAGGAGAGAGAGAAAGAGGAAGAAAGAAAGAGAGAAAGAAAGAAAGAAAGAAAGAAAGAAAGAAAGAAAGAAAGAAAGAAAGAAAAAGAAAGAAAGAAGTCGGATGTTACTGAAGTCCAGGAAGTCACAGGCTGTACAAGTGACCCAGAAGTAGATCTGAAGTCTTAGCAAAGTGGTTGTGTTGACTTCAAACCGTAGACATCTGCTACCACCATTCCTTTGATCTGAAGTCCCCTTGAGGCCAAAGTCAAGATGCTTTGAAAGGTCAGGTGGCCCTTTTTGTGGACAATGAGTTGGAAGAAGGTCATTCTTTTCCAGATATTCCTATTAGAAAAAGAATAGGCCGGAAGGTCATATCCCTGAAAGAAATGAGACGATACAAGCTCCAGCCCTCAATATCGTAATAATCTTCAACAGCCATTGAAAATTTGTCTTCAATGGGTCTGCTAAATAGCTGAATAGATTCAATTTCATTGATGAATGTTCATTCATTTGGACTTTAAGAGGGATGAATAGCCTACAGGTCTTATGTCCTCAGTGCTCCTGGAGACCCCACAGACTTCCCGACAAGACTGAAACCCACTGACATTCTCAATGCCACTTTAGATACCATGGATGTGGAGTATCGTAAACCAACATCCTCCCCCAGATATGGACTCCAAAAACCATCAGGAACAACATCCCTGATTTTGTCCCGCTTCCTTCAAAACTGCTGTCCAAATTCTAACTTTGGGCTGCAGAAAACAATCCCATTCTTTTCTTTAATTGCTACCACATATTTAATTCGGTGGGGAAAAAGGTAATTCTAAAGTGTGGACTTTGTTCCTTAAGGTAGATTTAGTCACTCTCTCGGTTTCTACAATGCCCTGAGTCACAGCCTAACCAGTGGCCTGGATTGCCACAACATGCTAGGCTAGAAAAAACAAAACGAAAAAAAGATTGGTAGCGATATCCCATCGTAGTTTATTTTGCAAGTCTAGCTGTTAGGCCTTTCACTAACCTGGTTAACGCGTTGTGTGAACACAGCCTGTGAATAGCAGAGAAACACATTTTCCTTTTTTTCACCCCCAATAATTTTTTTATCTTTTAACTTTCTGAGAAACACGCTTTTTGAACAAAACAAAAGGTGCGATATACGCCGAAGAAAACAGCAACAGCTTTATCATGTCCGATTCTTGGAAATTCTCTTCTTTGATTAGGCATGTGACCAGATTATATCTGATTTATACCTTTTTCTCCCAGATTGGATTGGAAATGAAATTGTCAGGGAAATATTACCTGTTGGGTTTCTGTGCTTGGGGCTCTTCTTAAGAGGAAGATGTGACAAACATGTTTTATTCAAACAGGGAAGCAGGCCAGATAATTTCTGAGAATGATATTTTCTGAACTGCCAGAAAATGCTTATTTTCTTGGGGTTGCAACTTCTTGATGGTTTCGAAAGAACAAAACGCCAGCAGGCGCATCAGAGAATAGTGTGGGATATATTGTTGATTTGTACAAAAGCAGACCTCCCGGGGCTCAGCTGACTGGAAATGGCTTTTTATTCTCGATGCCAATCTAAGGTTCTCATAATTCTGTACATGCTAAATGGAAATATTGTGGACCGAATGAATCAGAGGCTCCCCTGGCAAGTGTGGAGAAACAAGAAATCCGAGCAAGAAATGCTGGGGTTGGTCTGGGTGGGAAGAGACCCAATGAAGAATAATCTCCTAAAACCCCCAGAACCAAGAAAAGTGATAATTTGTCTTTGCAAGTTATTGTCTTCTGCCTATATGAGAAAAATATTGCTTTCTTTCCTGTTGAGAAGAAAGGATGACTTTCCCAGGCGGTTAGAAAAAGGCAATATTTGAAAACACATTGCCTTTCAGAAGGAGGGGGAGCCCAGGAGAATCGATTTTAGAAGTTCAAAGGGTCATCTAGAGCAGGGCTGGCCACAATTTAGGCAACTTTAAGACCCATGGACTTCAACTCCCAGAATTCTCCAGCCAGCAAAATTCGGGGAGTTGAAGTCCACAGCTCTTAAAGGGGTCAAGGTTGGATACCCCTGATCTAGAGGGAGAGCAACGGATGGACTTCAGGACCTTGGACAGTGACCACGACAGCTGCCAAGCTTTTGAAGGAAGCCTATGGATAACGTTCTAACACTCTGGTCAACTAAGGGACTTTTTTTAAAAAAAAAAAATGGTTGGAGTTATGGAAAGTGAATTAGAGACTGCATCTTTGGATGGTTTGGGATTCGTGTCATGTAATCCAAGGGACAAAGTTAACTCATCAGTCCAGGACAGAAGTCATAGAAGATAGCCTTCAAGGATGGACCAAGGAAGACCCCTGGACTCAATAACCAGCTCCTTCTCCACTGCTTGAGCTTCTTTTTGGAGGACCTCTGATCTCAAGTGAGCCAAACATGACTCCTTCAAAGTCCCTAAGTTGAATTTTATGGGTATTTAGGGACATGAGGTTCTTTGATGGCTTGTCCCAGCTTCTTCCAGAACCTTCTGTAGTCCTGCTTCCCTTCTGCTTATTCAGCACCCCAAACCTTGTCAGGGCCCCTTCCCACCCGGATCTTCTCCGACTATCGATGGCGCAAACTCATGGACAACAAATGTTGCCCGATGCCAGCTATGCTCAGACGAGCTGGTTATTTTTAACACACACACACACACAAATACAGACATGTACACAAACACAGTGACGTATCCACAGTCCAGGTCATTAAGGATAGAATCATAATCTATAGTTTAATTTGTGCCCAAAGGAATAACAGTTCTCCCTGGTGGTGATGGTTGCTGCTAACTATTGTTATCCACACGGTGTTTATGGATTGGGCAGGGGGTTATCCTGTGGGTGGCTTTTATAATTAGCTCATAAACCACTTTCCCTGTTTGAATTGCCTGAGCAAAACAAAGCTCCAGGGTCTAAACTGCTGGCTGGAGAGAATTAATTTTCCATCAGTTCTCACCCCAGGTCAAAGGGCTCCTGTTATTTCTGCTCCTGGCTGTGTTCCTCCATTTCTGCCCTCCCAGCTGCCCATTTCCCACACCGTCCGTGTGTCTTATTTGCTTGATGGGGTGCACGTAAATCTCTCTCTTTCTCTCCGGGTAAAGGGTGTTGCTGTTTTCAGTCCTGTTTTTCCCCTCCCAGATGCATGCAAACACAAAACTTCAGGGCCAACAAGGGATGCGTAACATCGCCTCCACCTGAAAGGGGTGCAGAAAATTTCCCTGCTCCCAAAAACTTGCTAAAAAGCTTCTACGGAGCTTCTGCAGAAGGCCTGGTTGCACCTGGAGGGCCCTCTGGTGCTCCGTAGTGGCAGGAGAGGGAAATGGCTACAGCACTGGGGGCCTCGTCACTCTCTGCAGTGATGCCATCTGGTTTGTCAGGATGACAGACCTGGGAGGAGGGACCTTGGAGGTCTTCTAGTCTGATCCCCTGCTCAGGCAGGAGACCCTGTAAAACATTCTGGACAAATGTCTGTCCGATCTCTTCTTGAAGACCTCCAGAGATGGAGCACCCACAACTTCTGGAGGGAAGCCCTTCCACCAGTGGTGGGATTCAGCCAGTTCGCACCACTTCGGGAAAACCGGTTGTTAACTTTCTGAGCAGTTTGGCAAAGTGGTTGTCGGAAGAAATCATTAGGGAAGAGAACCGGTTGTTAAATTACTTGAATCCCACCACTGATTGATTGTTCTGACTGTCAGGAAATTTCTCCTTTTTTCTGGGTTGCTTCTCTCTTTGATTGGTTCCCATCCGTTGCTTCTTGTCCTGCCTTCGGGTGCTTCAGAAAATAGGTTGACAACCCCCCCCCACTTCTTTGGGGCAGCCCCTCAAATATTGGAAGACTGCTTCTGAAACCTTTAGTTCACATGAGTATAAAAATGATTTTTAAGGTTTGGATCTTGAGTCACATAGACAGACCAATATACAGCATAACAGAATAACAGAATTGGAAGGGTCTTTGGGGGTTTCTAGTCCAGCCCCCTGCTTAACCAGGAAACCTTATACCATTTCAGACATTTTTTTTTTTTTGAGAATCTCTCTCTTTTTTTAGATATATTTTTATTGTTTACATATGAATATATTGAATACAGTGTAATTGTCCTGGCATTCCACTTACCCTAAAACAAAATAATAAAAAAAAACCAGAATAACATATATACTATTTTAAACAGTGCTAGTGTTGTACAATAGTTTCTGACCATCATATTCTAGTATGTCAACTTATCTATCATTCTAATAGTTACATACCTATATCAGTATTAAAAAGAATATCTCTTCCCATGTCCACCTAACCTGATTCTTTCGCATTCTAACTTCTACCTCATGTTTCTAACCACTGATAGAATCTATTCTGCTTCCTTGGCAGCCTTCGCAAGAACTGTCTGACTCAAAGCCATACTCACTGACTGATGGGAGGGTGAATTTCCATCTTAAAGACCCCTTAAAGCAGGGGCGTCCGACTTCAACAACTTTTAAGACCTCTGGATTTGCAACTCCCAGGTGCTGGCTGGGGAATTCTGGGAGTTGCAAGTCCACAGGTCTTAAAGTTGCCAAGGTTGGACGCCCCTGCCTTAAAGAAATCCCCAGTTTCTGTCTCTCTCACTCCTGGCCAGCTCTCTCCTGATGCAATCCCATTTCATGGGGCAGCATGCAAGAGATCCTCTCCATCATGGCTTAAAGATTAACTTTGTTCTCCGCTGCTGCCCATTCAGAGGCATCGTTCACTATTTTCCTTCCCCCACAAAGCAATAAACAGGGCCTGTGACTCCGTTATTGCTACGGCAAGAAGGAGAGGATTGTGCCAAGGCACCCTGGCTTTCTAGATCTTTCCAAGACATGAGAGTCTGAGTTGTTTGGGGGTCCCTGTTCTTGCCCACAAACAATGGGGAGATGCAGAAGGGAACCCCCGGAAGGTTGTGTCGGTGTGTGTGCATTTGGAAATGAATGGACCAGGTGATGCATTTGCCGGGAACACTATGTGGGTGCCTTTATCTTGCAAAAATAAGATAATTGAGCAACAGCTGTCAGGAGTAAAGACCTTTGCATGATAGATTTGCTAAGAATTCAGTGAACACATTTGCAAATAGTACCTTTAACTGTAACTGACGAAGATCAGGATTCAATCACGTATTTTTTTAAAAGATTTTTTAAAACACTTTATTATTTTTATAAGCAACTCAAAGTGGCGAACATACCTAATGATCCTTCCTCCTCCTATTTTCCCCACAACAACCCTGTGAGGTGGATTTGGCTGAGAGAGAGGGACTGGCCCAAAGTCACCCAGCCGGCTTTCCTGCCTGAGGCAGAACTAGAACTCCTAATCGCCTAGTTTTCAGCCTGCGCCTTAACCACTAAACCAAACGGGCTCTCATTTAATTTGTGCAACGGTGCAAACAGTTTATAATAATCTATTGATCATCCTCTGTGCCCATTTTACAGATTGGGTCTTACTTTTCCTGAGACCACGATTTGCCCAAGATCATCCAAGACGGGGGAACAATTTGAACCCCCAAAACGTCCACCCATCTCCCATCTATTCCAGGGGATTCGAAATCAGAAACTCTCAAGAGAGTTGGAGCAATACACTCCTGGCATGCCCTGGAGACTCTTTGCTTTTCTTCTGGATGTGGCAAGCCCAGCCTTCCCCCTCGCCCCCCAAACCCAGGAAAGAAATCCCAACATCCCAATAGAACTTTCTAGATGCCGAGAGCCCCAATCAGCTATTATCCTGAGCAGATGGAAGTCAACATTCCTTGGTAATAAAACCCTGGATCTGTTGTAGTTCCTACAGAGAGAAAGAAACTACTTTTCTCCTGCAGGGACTGGAGTTTCTCCTGATAAGTTTCTCCCCCCCCCCACACGCTCTGATTTATTTTTCCTTCTGGAGAGTCTTCCTCCCACCTCCCAGGAACCAAACGGCTTGGATCTTGGAGCGTTTCCTCGGGAGAAAGTCTCCTTAGAGGGGTTTCCTGCGAAACACCCGCACTTTCAGAGCAAGATCTGCCTGCCTCATTGTCTCCTTTTCTCTATTTGTCCCCACCCTTTAAATGGAAGACCCCCAGCCCAGCTCGGAGCGAAGACCCTCCTGTCCCATTTCTTCCGCGGTCTTTTCTTGTTGTTTCCATGCCTCTCCTGGCTTGAAAGCGCGCCGCGGATTGAGTCCCTCTCATCTCGGCCAAGAATTCGGATGGAGTGAGGACCAACGGGCGCTTCTTCGGAAGGAAAGAGCGGAGGGAGGCTGCAGCGCCCCCCGCCCAAGCCCCCTTCTTGCGCTCCATTCAGACCGCGGAGCCTCCCTCCTCCTCCTCCTCCTCCTCCTCCTCGTTTCTTCCACCGAACGGCTCTCTCCCTCTCTCCAAGCGGCTTTTACCCCAATCTGGCGCCCTCCCAACGGCGGGACTACAACTCCCATTCGCTGGCCTCGTGGGCCACGGAGGGTGGACGAGGGAGGCAGAGAAGGCGGCCTTACTGAGCGCCCGTCCGGCTCCCTTCGCCGCCTCTCCGCAGTGCCAAAAGATCGCGCGCACTGGGGAGCCTCGCCAATTAAGTCGGCCAAAACTGGCAAACTTGGGAGCTGTTTTGGGGGAAGGGGAGGCGGTGCCCATAAGTCTCCCTACCGGGCCCAGCTCGTCTTCCCATCCCGGCTCCCCACAAAGAGCCCGGTCGGCACCCGCAGCCGCCTCTGTTCCTGCCCGCGCACGGAGAGCCCATCGCCTGCGGGCGCGCCAGCAGCTCTGAGCCCCGAGTTGGGCAGGCAGGCAAGCGGCGCAAAGGGGCCCCCGCTGGCTGGTTGGCGCCGCCTCCGAGGGGGCGGCGGCTCTGCGGCCGCTATAAAGGCGGCTGAGGCGCCTCGGCAGGGCAGAGTCGAACCGACCCGTCTGGCTTGAGCGCATCCTCTCCGCAGCCTCCCGCCCGGTTCTTAGCGCGCGCCTTCACGCCTTCTCCGCTGCTCCGATCTTCCCAATGCGCCTGGCGGAGATGATCAAGAAAATGGGTCCCTGCGAGGCGGAGTTGAACATCCCGGCCAAGAACTGCTACCGGATGGTGGTGCTGGGCTCGTCCAAGGTGGGCAAGACGGCCATCGTCTCCCGCTTCCTCAACGGCCACTTCGAGGACCAGTACACGCCCACCATCGAGGACTTCCACCGCAAGCTCTACAGCATCCGTGGGGAGGTCTACCAGCTGGACATCCTAGACACGTCGGGCAACCATCCCTTCCCGGCCATGCGGCGCCTCTCCATCCTCACCGGTGAGACGCGTGTATGTGTGTGTGTGTGTGCGCGGGGAGGTCCGGAGGCAGTCCGGGGAAGGCGCTGTCCTTGGGGCTCCGGTCCGCGAACCAGTCTCAATGGGACTGCGATAGAGAGAAAGGGAGAGAGAGACAGAGAGAAAGAGATGGAAAGAGAGAGAGAAAGAGACAGAGAGACAGACAGAGACAGAGGGAAAGAGAGAGAGATGGAAAGAGAGAGAGAAAGAGATGGAGAGAGAGAGAGACAAACAGAGACAGAGAGAGAGAGAGAGAGAGAGATGGAAAGAGAGAGAGAAAGAGACGGAGAGACAGAGAGACAAACAGAGACAGAGAGAGAGAGAGAAAGAGATGGAAAGAAGAGAGAGAGAGTTTCTCTTTGAGGCTGCAGCTTGAACTCCTAACCCTGGCAAGTTTACTGGGGAAGTGAGATCACAGACATAACTTTATAAACCTGAGTTTTCAGTCTCGGTTTTACAACCCAGCGATAAGGAGTTTCACTGAAGCGCCTTTGGCTGTTGCAATCTGATTATCCTGGAGTTGTAAAGAAAAGGAAAACAAAAGGCACCTTTTGCAGAAAGCCGAAGTTGATAAGAAAAGGACCAGGCTCTTTATGGATGCCCATCCTGTCTCTTCTAAGTTAGCCCCGGGGATAAAGCCTCTGGGTTGGTACAAAAATGTATTTTTATGGCTACTGCAGCAACATAGAGGGAGTGCTTCATTTCTGATCTGAAGTGGACTTTCTGGCCAATGCTTCAAAAATGCATAAAAAAGTGAGGATAGAGACTCAAAGGAGCATTGGCAAGAAAGCTGGATTCAGTTCGGAAATATGTATTGTATTCCTCTTCTTTATTGCTGCTCTTTCCCTAGCGTTTGCATGCCTCCGATTTGGAAGTTTTGAAACTTAGCTCCTAACCTTCTCTCTTTCTGTTCCTCCTCCTGCAGGAGACGTCTTTATCCTCGTCTTCAGCCTGGACAACCGGGACTCCTTCGAGGAAGTCCAGCGTTTGAAGCAGCAGATCCTGGAAACCAAGTCTTGCCTCAAAAACAAGACCAAAGAGAACATTGAGGTTCCCCTTGTCATCTGCGGGAACAAAGGAGACCGGGACTTCTACCGGGAGGTTGAATCCCGAGAGATTGAGCAACTGTTGGGCCAGGACTCCAAAAAGTGTCCCTATTTTGAGATCTCCGCCAAGAAGAACAGCAGCCTGGACGAGATGTTCCAGGCACTCTTCACCATGGCTAAACTGCCCAGCGAAATGAGCCCAGATTTGCACCGCAAAGTCTCCGTGCAGTATTGTGACCTTCTGCACAAGAAGACCCTCAAGGGGAAAAAGCTGCTGAAGGACACTTCTGGAGACGGGACTGGGGATGCCTACGGCATCGTGGCCCCCTTCGCTCGCCGGCCCAGCGTCCACAGCGACCTCATGTACATCCGGGAGAAGGCCATCCGAGGCGGCCAGGCCAAAGACAAAGAACGCTGCGTGATCAGCTAAAGCTTTCCTCTCTGGCCTTCGGATCTTCTTGACCAAGAAAGGGCAAAGAGGTTCTTTGGTATCCAAACTCTGCCAGCCCGTCTGGGGGGCACGCAAGCCTCGGGCTGGGCCTCTGGGACACGGGGGCCTCCTCACTCTCCACGGGGACCTTTCTGCCATCGGCTCCCCGAGATTATTTTCCTCTTAGCAAGAGTTGGAGGAGATGCTGAAGCGTCCAGCCAGGACCCGAGACTGGAGAAGGGACATTGCAGACTCAGTGGTGGAAAGGAGGCCACTCGGTCTATGTTTGCAGACAAAAAGACTGGGGGGAATGGGAGGGAATGGGATTTGGTTGAGTGTGTAGCTGAACTCCCCGACATTCTAATGGCTGTGTCTCTGATGCTTTTTGTGTGCTGCCTCCGAGCGTGTTGAAAAGTTTAATTTGCTGCTGCTGAAAATTATCCACGGCTTCTCCTCTTCCCCTTCACCCCGCATTGTGTGGGAGCACAGAGGGAGGGAAGACTGGCAGGGAAGCTCTTGGAAAAATGATCCTGTTTACACCCCGCCTCCTTTTTCTGGGACGTTGTTGATAAACAAGCAAACCGACCGACAACCACTTTGCATTAAAGCCAACAGGCACTTTATATAATTATCGGGTTGATTGTCAAGATTGACATCTTGTTTTGACAAATGTTTGACACTGGTTCTTTGTTATATTGGGATGAGGGTTTTTTCTATGAAATAAAACTTTTGAAAAGAAAAACAACTTTGGAGTTGACTTCTTTGGTGGGGTGAGGGGCATGGGGGGGCTATATTGGTACGGGTATCTGTTGGACAGGGTTGAGTTTTGGGGGTTCAATGATTGTGGTCTACACAGCAGGTTTCCTGAGGTTCCACCAGCAACTCTTGAAGATGCCCAGTTGAAGTTGGAGATATGAAGAAGGTGTGATCAGGAGTGTTGAACTAGGATTCTGGAGACCCACATTCAAATCCACCCTTAGCCTGGGGGATTATAATATAATTATAGTTTCCTTCTTTTATTTTATCTTTTATTTTATGTACACTGAGAGTGTATGCACCAAGCCAAATTCCTTGTGTGTCCAATCACACTTGGCCAATAAAAATTCTATTCTATTCTATTCTATTCTATTCTATTCTATTCTATTCTATTCTATTCTAATTCCATTCCATTTTTTCTATTTATTCTATTCTGTTCTGTTCTTCTCAAAAGACCCCTTGCAAAGGAGGCTGCCAGGAATCTCTGCTCAGGACCTGGGAGACCAAGGTTCAAATCCTGCTTCTGTCTTAAAGACTTGCCTTTCCTCACCAGACTGTTGCAATGGGAGAAAAAAGCAGATGGACTGGCCTTGGGAAAAGAGGGCCCATAAACCCAGACATTATACCTGCCCTCCTTGTGTCTGTTCTCAGGTTTCCAAGCTGTGAATGCTGATGGGATAAACAAAACATCTGTATTTGTAATAAAGGCATTGGAGACGAGACAACTATTAGTAAGAAGAAGACAGAGGTTGGTGGGTTCTTAAAACAACTGATGAAGAGAAAGGTGTTCAGGGAAGGGAGATGAAGTCATTGGAAGAATGGAAAACGAAGTTAAATAAAAGGGGGTGAGATACTTATTCACTTCTCACTTTCCATGCGTCTCCTCTGGCATCAGTCTTCCACACGGCCGTGAATACCAAGGGCATGATGCCCGCCTCATGTGCCCAGTGGAAATTTCCCAGTCATTGCAAAGTCAACATGGCTGCCCTCACTGCCAGGGAGCTTTAAACGTACCAAAGGTGAATGGCAGGAATCCAGACCTCACTGACCCCTTCAATGTGCTCAGCCCAACCCTTCCCATAATCGCCTTTATCGCTTTTTCTACTCCTGGTCTGGAGTAGAAAAGAACAATAAACTTTCATCTCACGAGATGCTGGGAGGAGGCCAAGATGCTGGATTCACACACCTGAAGCTGGGCAAGCAGCAGCTCCAGAGACGCAACCTTTGGCCTCTCTCAAGAATTTCTTTTGGAGGGAAGTTGCAAAGATTCCCCTCCAGAGTGGCTTTGGATAGTGAGATGGGAAAGAAAGAAAGAAAGAAAGAAAGAAAGAAAGAAAGAAAGAAAGAAAGAAAGAAAGAAAGAAAGAAAGAGGAAGGAAGGAAGGAAGGAAGGAAGGAAGGAAGGAAGGAAGGAAGGAAGGAAGGAAGGAAGGAAGGAAGGAAGGAAGGAAGGAAGGAAAGACAAGTGGAAATACTATTTTTTCCTTCTTGTTATTTCTCAAGAAAAGTCAACATTTTGGGTCAGGCTGTGCCACACTCAGCGTCAGCCCACCTGAAGGCTTACGTATCCTGAAAACAGTCTGTTCTGTGCCCTGCTTACAATGGGTGATGCTCCAGGAAGGAAAAGAAAGGAAGGAACGAAGGAGGGAGGGGAGTGGAGGGGAAGAATTCCCTGGCTAGGATGTGGGGAAAATTTAAGATGGATGGACTTCAGTTCCCAAATTGCTGGCTGGAGAATCCTGGGAGTTGAAGTTCACCCATTTTAAAAGCCCCCAAGTTTCAAAAAAACGGCGCCCGAACTGCGTTCAATTCTTTGAAACTGCAAGTGATTTTATTATTGACTTTCACAGACTAGAAATAACTTTAATTACAGAAGCCATAACGTCACTCAGTGTCGCTTTAATTAATAATAACTGTCCTAAGGTACCAGGAAGGTGGGGGCGGGGAATCAACATTCTTACACATAACAAAGAAAGAAGAAAAACAAAGGTGAAAAAAATAACATGATTTTTTTAAAAAAAACCAACCAACATGGTTAAGGATCAGGATTGAAAGAATGGGGAGCAAGAAGCTTAAAATAATCCCGGCTCAGCCTTAAACAGCCAAGAGATCAGATTTCTATCTTTTCATCCTATCAAAGTTGAGACGATGCAGTGATTTTGTGATAAAAACACACAAACACATCCACGCCGCATGCTTAAATAGAGCTATTTTTGAAGCGAAAAGGCTACACAGCTGGTAAACCCGACAAAGAACGACGTAAGTAAAATAAAACAAGACTGTTAAGACATGACAAGCCACGTCAGCAGGGTGAGGGGTGAGGCAACCCCAGAATATTAATATAATCCACCATCATCTCTCTCTCTGCCCCCACCCCAAATTTTGTTTAGCAAAGCTGTTAAGGAAGCAAGGATTGTTTGCTGCTCCCAAAAAGCAACCTAAAAATAATCGTAACGACATTCACACATGGATAAATGAAGACTTTCTCCATCAATGACACTTTCCATGGAAACGGATGATTGACATCATATAAGTTTAATAAAATTTAGACATAAGTCATGCGGGTTTTTTTAAAAAAAGTTGATGAAGATTTTAAACGTTACTTCCATTTTCTCCCTTGCTGCTTCGCGGCGTAAGAAAAATTATTTCCTGGGGGGCTGAAAAACGGGATTCAAAGACTGTCCCTCCCACTGAGCAAAGTGGTCCCTTCCCCTTTAAAAATTCTGAAGACACGAAGACCGGGTGGCACAGTTCCACCTGGAGCATACCACTTCATCCCGCGGAGGGGAGGGGAGAGGTATCGAACAGGAGGCTGAAGGGGTGAAAAGAGTAACTAGGAAGACAAGGAAACAAAACCACAATAAATCAACTCATTAGCAAGTAGAAAGCTAAACCTGAAAATTCATCCCCGATTTTGGGATTTTCTTGCTTTTAATTCAAGGAATAGGCAAAGTGAAACCCCCTTTCTGATGAAGTGGTACACTCTCACATAGCTTTACCATCCAGTTGCAGAAACCGGTCCACAGACATCAACCCCTCCCACCAGATAAAAGTGAGTTTTGCACAATCACATCCTTTTACGCTCACAAATTGCGTACCAGAATGTCCACGATGTTCGGTTTCAAGCCTGTGCTGCCCCGTCTATTTCAAATGTGGTCCCTTTAAGAGGTGTGGACTTCAACTCCCAGAATTCCCCAGCCCCGGCCAGAATTCTGGGAGTTGAAGTCCATGCCTCTTAAAGGGTCCACGACTGGCAAATGCCGCTTCAGAGCAATTGTCCTGTTTGCAGAGCAAACAATATCTCCTTTACTCCTTAGGGATTTCAAACATGCACAGAGTTTTATATTTCTGCAGGAGTTTGTTCTTTGTTTTCACTTGTTCTCGGAGATTCTGCAGCTGCTGCTGCTGCTGTTCAGGGCTCAGGCCGATACCTTGCATGCTTTTGATCAGCTTGTGGGTCTCCACAAATTTAGTCCTCAGCTCGTTCAGCAATTGGTGGACCTCCTGGCTGTCTTTATTCATGCTAAAACAAAGAAACGGGAAGCAGAATTTAAAATATATTAAAATAAATTCCTTCGGCTAACCGCCATTATTTATATACAAGCAAGGAAGCGCCAGGGAACCGTGCCAAGCTCCGATCTTTTGAAAATAATATTTTAAGTAATGATTTTTAAAATGTCTTTTATGATTTATGAAGCGAGTTCTTGGCTGCACACTTATATTTTTTTTTAACAAAAATCCTCTATTTAGCATCCTGGATTTTAATTCTCTTTTCCTTTCTTTCCCTTTCATTCTGTGCAAGTCACTTTGAACAGTACTTTATTTCTTTATTAATTATTCATTTATTAAACTGGTTGGCTGCCCATCTTGCTGCAAGGCAAACTTGCTGCTCTCTTGAGTATGACTTTCATCAAAAAAATCCCAATTTTAATCGTTTCCCAAATGGGAAGGTTTAGAAACCCCCCCTGCCTGCCAAAAAAACCAGTTCTCTGAATCAAGGCAGCCCATTATTCCTACTCCACCCTCCCCTCCCCACCTCTGTGTTGGTGGCCCAAGAAATCACAGAGGGATGGGCGGTTAGGAAGTATGAAATATAAATAAATAAACAAACCTTGGGGAGGAAGGCACAGAGAAAGAGAGAGAGAGAGCGCAAGAGTTACTAACTGCAGAAATAAATCTCGTGTTTTTGAAAACAAAGAGAATTGTGTCCCTGTACTAAAAGCAACTCCCACGTCGTTGTTGGAAGAAAGCATTATAGTTGGGACTTTCCATTAGCAGCTGGCTGGCAACCAAAGGTTGGAGACTAAATAGGCTTTTGCAAAACAGGTAGGAAAAAAACCCAAAAATATTTATTCTGTGTCTCTTGGGAAGGAACAGCCCAAAAAGATTCCTTTTTTGCAAGGCCAGGTGCGAAGATCCAGATTTAGAAAACTCGGAATAACATTATTGTCACTTTGAATGTAGACATTGAAATGAAATTTTGTTGCATGCAGCTCTCGAAGGATCACCTCCTCCAATATACACTACATAAACATGACTAAATAAATAAATAAACATGCATATACCCACATGTATTATATATTATTCTAAAGTTATTCTAAGCCCAGACAGGCCTTCTCCGAAGGGCCCCTCCTCATCCAGAGGTGCAATTGCTCTCCCCACCCACCAGCATTTAGGAAGGATATCAAAGACCCATCCTCTCTTTGGACAATGGAGGTCTTCCGTGGAACGCGTCCATCTTATTATTTAGGCCTTGTGTTAATCAGTTCTGATTTACAGCTTGGGTTGTTTTTGGGATAGTGAGATGTTCTGCATCCGGTTGGCTCAGCCTGGTCCACAGCTGCCTTGCTCGACCTCAGCCACTTGAAGATGGGCGGACTTCAACTCCCAGAATTCCCCAGCCAGCATGGGTAGCGTGTACAGAGGGCATATAAATACATTATTATAAATATACTAATAAAAGCAATAAAGGATGGAGAGGGAAGGATTGGGCAAGCTCGGGCTGAGTCTAGCTCTGAACTCCCCTTCTTCCCTCTCCAGAAGCCTCTAGCTGCCCAGATGTGTCGGGAACCGAGCCCCTCCAGCTGTGCACCAGGATGCTCTCCACAGCTGGGCCAGAGATGCCAAACTTGAGGAGCACCAGATTCAAATCCTGAACAGGATTTGACCTGGGGGAGATCTGACCTGGGGATCTGACCTGGGGGAAAAAGCGCCAATCTTGCTGGAGATCCTCATCTCAAGTTTGACATGGGGGGGGGGGTGCTGTTGGGAGATTCCCCAGCCTGGAAACCCATCCCTTCCCTCCAAGGTAGACTGCTCCTGTCCCCGGAGGCTCGGCGGGGCATTTACCATTTGATAATGTCGCGCACCAGGGGCAGGAACGAATAGTCCTCCAGGCCCGGGCCGGGCGGGGCGGCGGGGGGCGCGGGCTGCGCTTGGGGCGGCAGGAACTTGGGCTCGGGCGCCGCGCAGGGTTGGGGCGCGGGGGCCGTGGGCAGCGGCTCTCCGGGGCCCTGGGGGTTCCCCGCCGGTTGGGCTCCGCCGGGGGGCGGCTGGGGCGGCGGGCCGGGGTCTTCCAGGGCTGCCCGCGGACCTCCGGACGCCGCGGCTCCCGGCGTGGCCATGCGCTTTGGGCCGGCTCGGCTCCGTGCGCCTTTGCGCTTGGCGAGGTGCGCCCGGCGGGGGAAGGGGAGCCGCTTTGCGCTCGCTCCGGAGAGGATCGCCCTGCGCTGCAGGCTCGGCCCGGCCCCCTCCCCTTCTCCCCTCCCCCCACGTCGCAGCAAATGCACGCCAGGCGCGTTGCAAGAGTGCAGGGCTGCACCGCCTCCGCGGCCCTTTTGCACGTCAGCCCGATGCAGCTCCTCCTCCGGCTCCGCTGCGCCGCCTTTGCTGCAGCGGCCGGATTGGGAGCTCTCCAACTGCCCCTTTCTTTTCCTTCCTTTCCTGCCTCTTCTCCCTCTTTCCTTTGCCTTCTTTTCCTCCTCCCATCCTTTAGGTCCCCAGGTAAAGATTTAACTGCGAAAGGTTGTGTGAGCCTAAACTGAATAGAATAGAATAGAATAGAATAGAATAGAATAGAATAGACTAGACTAGACTAGAATAGACTAGACTAGACTAGAATAGACTAGAATAGAATAGAATAGAATAGAATAGAATAGAATAGAAAATATGGAATGGGATGGAATGAATAGAATAGAATAGAATAGAATAGAATAGAATAGAATAGAATAGAATTCTTTATTGGCCAAGTGTGATTGGACACACAAGCAACTTGTCTTTGATGCATACGCTCTCAATGTACATAAAAGAAAAGATGCGTTCCTCAAGAATCATAAGGTACAACACTTAATGACAGCCATAGGGTACAAATAAGCAATCAAGAAACAATATCAATATAAATGGTAAGGATACAAGCAACAAAACTACAGTCATACAGTCAAAAGTGGAAGGAGATGGGTGGTGGGAATGATGAGAAGATTAATAGTAATGCATTCACTAATAGTTTGACGGAGTTGAGGGAATGATTTGTTTAGCAGAGTGATGGCGTTCGGGAAAAAACTGTCCTTGTGTCTAGTTGTTCTGGTGTGCAATGCTCTATACCGTCGTTTTGAGGGTAGGAGTTGAAACAGTTTATGTCCAGGATGCGAGGAGTCTGTAAATATTTTCACAGCCCTCTTTTTGACTCGTGCACTATACAGGTCCTCAATGGAAGGCAGGTTAGTAGCCATGGTTTTTTCTGCACTTCTAATGATCCTCTGAAGTCTGTGTCTGTCTTGTTGGGTTGCAGAACCAAACCAGACAGTTATGGAGGTGCAGATGATAGATTCAATAATTCCTCTGTAGAACTGGATCAGCAGCTCCTTGGGCAGTTTGAGCTTCCTGAGCTGACGCAGAAAGAACATTTTTGTTGTGCTTTTTTGATGACGTTTTTGATGTTAGCTGTCCATTTTAGATCTTGGGATATGGTAGAACCTAGAAATTTGAAGGTCTCTACGGTTGATACTGTGTTGTCTAGTATTGTGAGAGGTGGAAGTATGGGAGGGTTTCTCCTAAAGTCTACCACCATTTCTACAGTTTTGAGTGTGTTCAGTTCCAGATTGTTCCGGTCATACCACGAGGCTAGTTGTTCAACCTCCCGTCTGTATGCAGATTCATCATTGTCTCGAATGAGACCGATCACTGTTGTGTCATCTGCGAACTTCAGTGGTTTAACAGATGGATCATTAGAGATGCAGTCATTGGTATAGAGAGAGAAGAGAAGTGGGGAGAGCACACATCCTTGGGGTCCCCCTGTGCTAATTGTACAGGTATCTGATGTGATTCTGCTTAGCTTTACCTGCTGCTTCCTTTTTGTTAGGAAGCTTATGATCCACTTACAGGTGTGTTCAGGTACCTGTAGCTGGTTTAGCTTAGTTAGAAGAGTGTCTGGAAAGATGGTGTTGAATGCTGAACTAAAGTCTACAACAAGGACCCTTGCGTAGGTCTTTGGAGATCCAAGATGTGGTAGGATGTAGTGCAGAGCCATATAAAAAGCATCATCTGTTGATCTATTTGCTCGGTATGCAAATTGCAGAGGGTCTAACAGGGGATCCATGATGGTTTTCACGTTAACTGGGAAAGGTTGTGTGAGCCTAAACTTAAGGAGAAGATTTCACCCTTCCAGAGAAGACAACTGATTGTTGTGAACCACAGCGTGATGATCCCTGGAAATCTTTTTAATGAATCATAAAAATGATTTATTGGAGCAGGGGATACATTTACCTCCCACAAAAAGCCTAATTACTTCCCCAACAAAAGAAAACAGAAATAACACCCCATTTCTTGTAGGTCAGATTGCAATTCATCAGTTCATAGAAAGATGACTCGCAGGAAAAGCTGCTTCCCAATTTGTTTTAAGTAAATATTAATAAACAGGTGCTATTTATATCTAAACCGAAACTCTGGGATGAGTGTCTGGGCTTGGTGGATGCTACTAAAAATAACTAATATAATCAACAGCTGATTTCCAGGAAAGAAAAAAAGAAAAGAAAAAAGAGAGAGAGAGAGAGAGAAAGAAAGAGAAAGAAAGAAAGAAGGGAAAGAAAGAAAAAAAGAAAGAAAAAGAAAGAAAGAAAGAAAGGAAAGAAAGAAAGAAAGAAAGAAAGAAGGGAAAGAAAAAAAGAAAAAAGAAAAAGAAAGAAAGAAAGAAAGGAAAGAAAGAAAGAAAGAAAGAAAGAAAGAAAGAAAGAAAGAAAGAAAGAAAGAAAGAAAGAAAGAAAAGCAGCAACAGCAGGACCTTGGAACAGCCGAGGTGGGAGTTTGCTGAAGGCAATGGGCCCCTTTTCTGAAGCTTTCCTCTAAGATCGCCTTCCCCAAGCCCTGTTTGAGATATTGCACGCTGCAACAAGATGTGGTAGCCTGAGAGGGTTAGGATTAGGGTTAGGTTCCGGCCACTCACCCCACTTCTGGGGGAAGCATCCTGGATCTTCTACACCAGGACTCTCCAAACCTGGCAACTTTAAGATTTGTGGACTTCAACTCCCAGAATTCCCCGGACAGCCATGTGGAAGTCCACTCGTCTTAAAGTTGGCAAATTTGACAAGCGTTGCTTTACGGGAACATAGTTTCCCATTGTCCACAAGGGTGGACCTCTTCATCCTTTAGTTCCTTAGCCAATTCTGGCTGTTTCCCCTCTCCCCAATAGTTATAATGCCACATGTGTGCTAATAGGGAAGGTGAGAAGGGTGGACCAAAATGGGCTAAAGCGGGGTCTCCAACTTTGCTCTGGGAGTTGAAGTCCACAAGTCTTAAAAGTGGCCAAGGTTGGAGACCCCTGGGCTAAAGGATGAAGAGGTCCACCCTTGTGGACTATTGGAAACTATGTTCCCTTAAAGCAACATTTGTCAAACTTGCCAACTTTAAGACAAGTGGACTATCTGGGGAATTCTGGGAGTTGAAGTCCACGAGGCTTAAGAGTTGCCACATTTGGGGACCCCTCTTCTGCTCCAAACAGGCTGCTAATGTATCGGGCTTTCTGAATATGCTCAGGAATTGAGTCGCCCAAAGCTGATTTTCCCAACTGCAGAACCTGGAGAGGCAGCCTTGACTGCAGTCCAACTTTGCTCTGCCGTGGGAACCCCTTGAGATAAGGCCTCCAGACTGCCTTGCAATCCCTCTGCAAATTTAAACGGCCTTTGGGGGAAGAGGTGAAGACACCCGGAGGGGGAGAAATGGAGAGACCCTGCAGATCCAAAGGTTAATAAGGCCAGGGAGCGGACAGGGCAGTGCAAAAATAAAACAAAATCCAGTTTTTCGGGATCCTGGCAAGCTTACTACTTACACAAACGAATCCCTCAGGCTGCTGTAACTTCAAACAGCGATGAACAAACGGTCGTAAGTCTAAGGACTATCTCTAAGCTTATTGGAAAAACCCAAATTGGCCACAGTCATCGTGCTAGGCCAGACCCAAACACACATCATGAGGTTTTAGCCTAGCCAAGCAATTATTTTAGCTTTATTTTGCCTCCCCGAGGCTGGGCTTCTTTTGCGCTTGTGTGTTTAGGCAACAACAGCTTTTCAGTTAGAAGTGGAGGAGGGGAGGGAGGTTTATTCAACCGTATTAGAAATAAAAACGGTTAATTGCCACACTTCGGCAGCATTCAAAGGTCTTTTCTTTCGCCCTACTTCAAGCCCAGAGGTGTTTTCCTTTGTGTTCCGAGCAGATGGGCAACGGAGCCTTTAAAAAGTGTGACTGTTTTTTCACCAGATGTCCTTCCAGATGCTGGAAGAAAAGTGATTTAATGCATTCAATTAACCGGGAAGCCTTCGCGTTCAGACAGTGGAAGAGTAAAAAAATCAGAATCCACCTTTTAACTAATTATATTTCCCAGCTGCAGTAAAATAAGCGAAGGCCCAGGTTGTTCTTTTTTTAATGTCTCTTCCCTGAATGCTTCTTTAGCAAGCTGGTTCATCACCAACGAACCCGATAACTGGCAATTCTCAACGTTTATTGCTGGTTTGCTGAATAGCTGGATAACTTAACAGTGGTGTTTTTCAAACTTGTTTATTTATTTTATTTATTTGTCAAATACATATAAGATAACAGATATAAGTATAAACATGATTATGAATACAGGATAAGGATACGAGTCAATGGGGACAGTAGGACAGGGACGGTAGGCACGCTGGTGCGCTTATGCATGCCCCCTTTACGGACCTCTTAGGAATGGGGTGAGGACCACGGTAGACAGTCTAAGGTTAAAGTTTTGGGGGTTTGAGGATGTAACCACAGAGTCAGGTAGTGCATTCCGGGCATTGACCACTCTGTTACTGAAGTCGTATTTCTTGCAATCAAGTTTGGTGCGGTTTACCTTGAGTTTGTATCTATTGTGTGCTCGTGTATTATTGCGGTTGCAGCTGAAGTAGTCATTGACAGGTAGGACGTTGTAGCAGATATTTTGTGTACTACACTTAGGTCAGACCGTAGGCGGGATAGTTCTAAGTTGTCTAATTTCAAGCCTGGTGGCATAAGGTATTCTGTTGTGAGCAGAGGAGTGGAGGACTCTTCTCGTGAAATATCTCTGGACTCGTTCAATGATATTAATGTCCGATATACAGTGCAGGCTCCAGGCAGATGAGTTGTATTCGAGAATTGGTCTAGCAAAGGTTTTGTATGCCCTAATTTGCAGTACAATATTACCGGAAATGCCATAAGATTTGAGTTTTAAAAGTAGTTTGTCATGTACCACTGAATCAAAGGCTTTGCAGAAGTCTATGTAAATTGCGTCTATTACTTTACCCTGGTCGAGTTGTGTAGTCCATATGTTTTTGCAGTGTAAGAGTTGCAGATTACTTGGCAAAGAAAGGTAGGTGGCCTTGCCTCCTGACGTTGTGAGTGCTACAACACTAGAAGTTTTAAAGAAGAGATTGGACCACAGTTTATCTGAAGGGATATAGGGTTTTCTACT